AGACAGAGACAGCAGACGAGACAGAGACAGCAGACGACACACAGATGGAGCAGACGGCTCTCTGGACGGTGGCTTCTGGGGGGCCTTGGAGACAGGAGATCTGCAGGTGGTGTGGGACCGACTCAAGGTCGCTCTACACTGGCACAGGTACACACACACACACACACACACACACACACACACACATACACACACACACACACAGAGAGTTGTACTCACCCTGTTTCGGCACGTAGAGATTGAGCGTGAGACAATCCTCCTTCTGCTCCGTGATGAAGGGCGTTATATTCCGGAGCTGGTCCACCCTCCCCTTGGGCAGCTGTTGGTTCAGTTCCCGCTCGTGAGTGGTTGGCTGGGGGCACACGGGCTGGTGCGAGATGGCCACACGGATGCCGTTCCACTGGTCCTTGGGGTTCTTGGGCGGCATGAACCTCATCCCCCCGCCGTCCAGGTCCGCGTATCTCAGCCCCAGGTACGCCTCCACAGACTTGAGGTTTTTGTTCTCGAACTGGACGAGAATCCCACGGACTTTGCCGTAGCGCGTGGTGATGACCCGGTCACTCATCTGACGGAAGTACACCACGCTGGCTGAGGGAGGCACGAGGGGCGAGAGGAGGAGGAGGAGGTGGACCAGGGTCAAGGTCAGATGACGCACGCTCAAGGTCACGGACGCTGATGATGATGACGAGGAGGGGGAGGGGGCTGGACGGGTTGTTGTATCCATCTCGAATTTGTTTGATATCCTCGGAAAACTGTTCCTACTCACAGAAACACACACGCGCGCGCACACGCGCACTCATGCGCACACTGACTTACACAAAGGGATCTCCGAATTGAGCAAGAAAGTGCCACAAAGAGAACAAGATCAACTCATCACTGTGGTTCGAGGAACTCACTCACAGCACAACACCGCTGTCTGCCCTGGGCACAGACAACATCCACATACCAGTAACGACCGACGGTTTGTTGGCCAGATTAATTCATGGCAGCTCTTCTGACGCCCCAATGTGCCAGCCTATTAGATCAGGGACCATCGTCTCTTGAACTTTCCAAGATTAAAATCATTCAAAGGAATAAAAAAAAAAGATGAAATACAAAACTGAAATTGATGAAATGCAAAACTGAAAACGATGAACGGTAACTCAAAAGGTTCTACTCATAAAAACAAATCACCTCATGACACTTATTGCTTCAACGTTTTTCGTGGGTCATCAAAATTTTTGCATCCCTTTGAACATGTTTAGAACAGCAGCAGGTTATGGAGAAATAACAGCTGCCGAGACGATGAAGGAAAAACTTTTCATGACCGTTGGGGAATACATCAAATGACGTCATGCAGGGGTTCCTGTACCGTCAGGGGGCGTGCCGAGTGAGTGTATGTCTGTTCTATCAGCTGTTACCTCCATCTCAGGGGGAGGGGGGAGGGAGAGGGAGAGAGAGAGAGAGAGAGAGAGAGAGAGAGAAAGAGAGAGAGACAGACAGACAGACAGACAGACAGAC